TTTTTGCTTTTTTTTTTTTTTTTTTTTCTTTGAGTATATTTTTTTTGTGATGTTGAATCAATTAAATGTTTATTTTTAATAATTTTAATAGTGTTATTTGTATATTTTATTACCTTTTAATGATTTTTTTATAATTTTATGACATAATAAATAAAATTAATTATATATATTAAACGTGTCCCTAGCGGCATAACGATATTACTTTAACTTAGGGAACTCATTTCATGTTTTCTAAATCACCTATGCATACAATTCTCCAGTCCAAGAGGACGACAAAGTTTCTCTCTTACTCTATTGTCCTTCTCCGTTTTGTCTTTAATTTATGACTTACCCACCCAAAAAAAAATCAATTTAGGGAAAATTGGGAAATTTAGTTGAATTCATGGAATTAATGAATTTATTGATTAAATGGTGTAGTTGGTTAGTTTAATCACTCACCTATGAAAATGTTAGAATTATGTTAGTTGATACATTTATTTCCTGTTTAAACTAGGAGAATTATATTAACCTTATTCACTTTATAACATACATATGAAATAAATGTGAGCAATTCAAAACCAAACCCAACTAATTTATCAATTGTTACCCAAATTGATGGAAAGTTAATTCAATATGGAAAGTTACCAAACCAAACTAAGTCTTGTGTCCCAATCATTAGGGAAAGTAGCTTATTAGGAAAATATTATTCATTACAGAAAGTATAATCTATTAAACCTTCATCTGTATCCTCTTAAGAATCTAAAATTTTAAGAAATGGAAATGCAATTTGATGATTCCCTCCTCCATGGTACCATATTAAGCACTCGTAGTGGTATCGTGGTAGTAACCTTCTACAAAAGCCACTTTACCTTACTTTCTTATTGTTTTTTGAGAAGCCAGGTAACCAAGTGATTGGAGCCCCTAGTATCAAGATTAACGCAGCCAAGAAACAAGTTGCTAACAAGGCTGGTGAATTTCATATGGCTTAGAGGCTTTCATGTTCAGAAATTTCATTCAGGTTGACATCTGTATATAATAATTAAACAACCAGGGATGTGTTATATTCAATAAGGTTCTCCAACAGAGTTGTGAAGACCCATCTGTGTAAATTTTAAAATGAAGCTTACATCAAACTTTCAGTTACTCAAATAGTAGTATTCCTAGATGATTATCCTCCTAAAAATATTGCCTAAATATGATAAAATAACCAAAAGCTAACGCTTTAGGAAATAGAGGTAGGTCCAATGAATTTCAAAACTCACCTCTCACCACAAAAAGTGTAACTTTTACCACAAAACACCATAACTTTGTCATTAGTAACTTTTATCACAAAGTGGGAGAGCGCACACACACATCACAAACATTTGTAATTTTCCGTACAAAAATTGTAGCTTTTTACGATGTGCCCTTTTTAGGGGCGCACGTAGTAGCATTTCCCCCTCTCTTTTCTTCTCATTTTGTTTTTCAAAATAATCACTTTCCAAAATTTGTTTCAACTCAAAAGGATATATAGTAATAGAATTTACTTTTAAATGAAAACTTCCTACATTTGATATATAGATTTCATAGTACGATCAAAAGGAAGTAAACCATCATAATCATATTTTAAAATGAAATTCAGGTCAACTAGGCATACAAGCTAATTAGACAGCTTGTACTACTGCATTTTATTTATTTAATAATAATAATAATATTTATTATTATTATTATAATTGTTTGGTGTGTGTGTGTGTACACATGTGTGCATTTTTCCTTGGAAAAAAGGGACAGTGTTTGTGGCTTCTGTAAGCGCCTAATGAGTGATGAAATTTGTTGTTCTTTGAACTGTATACATCTGTTGGGTTCTTTTGGACATTTCTCTAGTTCCTTTTTGAACCTACCCTTGCGGGGTGTGCAAGGGATTTTAATCCATATGGTCTGTTTTGCTGATTATATGTTCATGGTCCACATATTCTTTTATGGGGCCCAGGAACATATCATCTTGTTCACAACATGCTGCCCTATCTGTTAAGGTTTTGCATGGTATTTTGGATATTGTTAGGGTGTTATCTTGGAGGCTTGCTTATAGGTTTGTTGATGTTCTTTTTATATCTTGGTTTTTTTGGCTTCTCCCCAGGTTTTCTCTTAGTCTGGACAGGTCTGCTATGTTGCTGCCCATTTTTTGTTTTTGTTGATATATAGTTCTTTTTTTTTATGGGGTTAATTAGACTAAACATCAGCAACATTTAGCAATCAGCCAACTATCTAAGAGAGACCAAACAACATGAAGCCTTGAGACTAATAAGGCCACAAAAATCCTCCAACAGACAGGGCCATAAGCCTTGAGACTAAACCAAACAGATCAACAAAACATAACTTCTCAGCCGCCAAACAGATCAGTAGCCCAGAGACTAAACCAAACAGATCAGTAGCCTTAAGACTAAACTTAACAGATCAGCAGACCAATTCCAGCTCAACCCTCTAACTAATAGAGCAAAACAGAACAATAGAACATTAAAACAGAACAAGCAGACTCATAATCAGCCCCTAATATGTTAGCAGTTGAAAACTACATCAGTGACTAAAAAGGGGAAGTCCTTGATAGAGGCCTTGAGCCAAAAGGCTAATATGACCTTTAACACAAATCAGCAACATTCAGCAATCAGCCCCTAATCATTAGCAGCAACCAAGATAGACTAAACATCAGCATGAACACAAACCAGCAACATTCAGCAATCAGACAATTATCTAAGAGAGACCAAACAACATTAAGCCTTGAGACTAATAAGGCCACAAAATCCCTCCAGTAGACAGGGCTATAAGCCTTGAGACTAAACCAAACAGATCAACAAACGTAACTTCTGAGCAGCCCCAAACAGATCAGCAGCCTAAAGACTACCAAACAGATCAGCAAATTATAAATACATACAATCAACAAAATCAAAACCCAATCCATACATATCTATACTATATATAAAGTGAACATCTTTTATGGTGTCCTAAAGCATTAGTTTCTTATGCTAACACGTGTTCATTTTTATTTTAAAAAAAAATAGATAGAAGAGAGGAGGGGATTTGAACCTTAGACTTATATCAAATGAAGAAGACTCTTACTACTTGACTAGCACACTATATATAATAAATATTTTATTTTATTTTTACTTATTTAAATTGCACACGTATCGCGTGTGCGAACCGTTAGTTCTAATATATGCCTATTTTCATGTTTTGTTCAATAAAAAAAATATAAAATTGTACTATTAATAGAATCATTATTCACCGTTCTAAAAAAAAATAATGAATTAATGAATGATGATTCTATTTTATTATGGTGAAATCAAACACTACAATAAGTTAATAAGATGAAGACGAGAATTGTTCACTTTTTTCATTAACCTTACAAGACTCCAAGACAAAGTAGTTCACTATAATAAATTGAATATAATCATTCAATTCTATTCTATTTTATTCCAGTATGACTCTTTCTATTTCTTTTCTTTTTTATTCTGTGAGAGTGAGACAAATGATTTAAACAAACAAAAAACAAATTTCAATTTAAATAAATGAAAAATATATATTTTTTTGAAAAGTATGGAGAGATGTGCTTAATATCTAGATGCAGTGTGAATTGGAAAAATGGGATGCTGCCACCTGATTCGCAGGCTTGAACTTCAAACTAATCTCTCATTTCATTAGTGTGAAGCCAATACCATGGCACGATGTGAATTTTGATAAGCAAAACCCTAACATTCGATTGCGAATCCAACTTTGAAATAGGGAATTTTTTTTATTTTTTATTTTTTATATGTGCAATAACACATTGTTTTAATTTTTTAGGTATCTATAATTAAAGTGAGATAATTATCTTTGAAATCTCTTATAACCTTTTTTATCATAATAAACTCATAGCAATTGTAAATGTAACCCTAATTTTTAGTGCATCACATAAATTGTGTTATTTGTGCATAATTGATTTATCTTTTTAAGAACTAAATTAAGAGCTCCAAATGGGGGCAGAGGTTAAGACCACTCCACCTGTTGTGTATCCATCTTATCACCATGTCATTTAGAGTTGTCACCATTGCACTCAATACCGTGTGTGATAAAAGAGAGATTAACTGTATCCACAATCCACACGTTAGAAATGTCATAAAGTTTTATGGGGGCATGATGATCTCAACACTCTTAAACAATTCATCATTTGATCATTGTGCAGAAGTGATAAAAGCTTAAGTTTCTTTTACTAATCATCCCACTCACCAAAAGGTTAAAAATATATATATATCAAAAAGTCATTCCTGAAAATGACTTGCCAAATCATTTTTCAACTTGTATTATATATCTGAGCATCTATTTGGTGTCTTGAAACTTTTTTTTTTCTTTATACTTCCAATTTTCTATTCCCAAAAATAAAAATAAAAACAATAGAGAAAAGGGTATGACTTGAACTTATGACTATAAATTTGATAAACTAGACTCTTACCATTTGAATTACATACAATATATAACAAATATTTTATTTATTTATTTATTAGACTTGCTATTTATTATATATGCAAATTGCAAACACCATGATTAATGGTGGGGAGCAACCAACTTAGATAATAAATAAGATTGAAAGAGGTGGGTCTGGTATGGGTATGCTGAACAAACTTCTGAATTGCAATTATGGACTCTTAATGTAGAGTTGTTCGGCTGTGTGTGGTTTGTTTTGGTTATTGGGTCATATAGATTTGTATCTCATCCCTGTTTTAGAATAGAAAGAGATATATATTCTTAACAATGGTGGTGAATGGTTTTGGAGACTGCGTGACTACTGAATGGTTTTGGGGACTGCGTGACTACACTTTGAGGTCTCCACAAGCGTCGTTGCGATCAACAAAATCAAAACCCAATCCATACAATCAGCAAAATCAAAACCCAATTCACATATATATATATATATACACGCACAAGCAAAATCAATCCAGCCCAAAAATTATACACAAAAAACAACATGCATGTATCAATCAATATAAAAAAATTAGAGAAATAATACTTACAATCTGTTCCCAAAATCCTCTCTTTCTGCTGTACTTGAGATTAATTTAGAGGATTTCATATAAACAAAAAAAAATAGAAACTATAATCAGTACATATATATATATATATATAATAATTGATGAAGGAAATCGCAAGGGAGAGAGAACATTACCTTTAAACAACACAAAGCTTCACAGAATCACAGAATCGTAGAGTAAGAAGTAGTCCTAGAAGCATTAGAAGCATTGTTGTTGATCATCACAATGAGAGGAAAAATAGGAAACTGATTTGGGAGTGGGTTTGGTGAAAAATAAGCGTGCCAGATTTTAGCGCAAAAAATAGGGGTCTTTTCATTTTAATATAATTGATAGCATTATATTTTTAATTATAGCATTTATACATTGTAATTAAAATCTTGAATTTCTGAATTATTTCACAACATGTACGAAAAACTATTAAAATTATACTAAATGTTACAAAAATTGAAATGTTTATGCTATTTTATTACAAAATGCCACAAATGCATCACATTTTATAGCAATTTCAAAAGAATGTTATAAAAAAATGCTATAAAATGTATTTTTTGTTGTAGTGCTTCGAGAGCTTCGCGAGGGTCGACTTTTCAACCAATGCGGTAGTATGACCCTTGAGAGGGACTTTTGTCGTAGAGATCTATGTTATTAATTGTAAAGCTTTTGTTATTGATTGGTGTGCCATAGGATGCTAAGGCTCCATGGTTATGTGTTGTATATGTATATGTATTGTTGTTTGTTTACCTTCATGTGTTGGGCCTGCAATGAGTCTTGAACACTCTTTTACATAAGTGTGATGGAAAGTTGTTTAGGGTATTGACGATCCTAGTGTCACTGCATATCAGATGTTGAATTTTGTGATAGTCATGTGATGGCAGTTGATTCTTAATTAGTTTGAAATTGTTGGAGGAAAATGAGAAGTCTGTGGAATTTTTGTGACTAGCGTAGTGTTTTAATGAGGGCCAAAATTTTAAAGATTTTATTGTGTTAAGTTTAAGGAAGTGTGAGACCTTAGAGTTTTGTGAAGATTGGAGGCGGTTATGTAGGAATGTTTAAGGGAGTGTGAGATTCACATCTTGGAGTAGTGAGAATAGTGCTTGTGTGTGTTGCTTAGTGTTTTGAATTGTTGATTAGTGAGTTGGTTATTATATGTGTGTGGAATAAGTTTGTTGTGTTGTTAGGTTTTGGATGGAGATTTAGTGGGAAAGGAATTTCATGGGTAGATGCTCGAAATATTACTAGAGTGATGAAGGGTTTGTGTTCTTAGGTAATGAGTGTATCATTGGTAAGAATTGTCTCGTGTGATCGGGATCGTGTGATTGCCATTGACCTATTCGGTCTTGTGTTGAAAAATAAGAGCGTGTTTACCATCTAGGCATGTAAGTAGAATTCCTATGGGAACAATAATGGAGTAGTCTGTTTTGAGAAATCCGAGAAGACCCTAGGAGTATGTGGAACGGTGTTTGAAAACCTGTCTTTGGGCAAATAGGACGGGAGAAGAATGTAGACGTTTGAAGTCCGGGAGCGAAAAATTCTTGGGTGATTAATCAGCCGATCAGTATTAAGGCGGGTGACAAATAGTCACTTTAGAATGGTTTAGATGTGGGTTGTAAAGTTGAACCTTTGGAAATTTAGCACAGATTTAGCTGGAAGACGGTGTTGTACCGTGGGTTGTGCTTGGGGCGTTAAGCCTTGCGTATGTGTGTGGTTATCGATGTAAGTCTTTGAAACCCATGAATCAGAGTAAACTGATAGCTGTTTAGGTTAATGTTTGTGTTGGTATGGAACCTTCGAAGTTTGGAAAGTTATGCGTGTTGCATAGTTTCTTTTAGCACCGTGTTTATTTCTAATTGTTGTTGTTATGGAAATGTAATTGGCACATTTTGAAGTCGCTGTAAGCGTTATGAATGTGAATGGGTGATGTAGACCCGCCTGAACTCCCTCCGCGCAGCCCCCCTTTCGAAGAGGGCGCGAATTGGGTTCTAGCTACTACTGTTCGGACTCCCGTCACGGTTCTAAATCTAATCTCACAAAGTGCAATGTGAGACTAATAAAATCACCAAAGAGTCCAAATCTGGCAATTGGTTTTGAAAAATCAATTTTGAATCAAAAAGCGCCAACACATGGACTACTTTGCCAGATTACAGAGTCGCCATCTAAATATTTTGTTTTGGGAAATTCAGGAAACCCTGACTTGTGGCAAAGGCCACGTGTCCGTCATCACCAAAGTTGTCTCGGCTCGGGAACTTGGGTACGAGAGGGGAAAGTCTGGAAATGAGCACCCCCGCTCGCCCGATCAAAGGATCGGCCTCTACTAAACATGATATGTTGTTTTTATAAACACATGTGTTCTTATTCCGATTATTACTCTAACTTTACTATGTGATGCGCACAGCATACAAGTATAGACTAGATCACCTAAACTGGAACAAAACAATTCAATGTTTGTTTTTGAAAATGGTTTGAATTTGCCACCCTCAAATGGGCTTAGAAATGCCGATTTGCCACCAAACAAGGAGGGCTTAAAACATGATGATTTGCCACTCCGCAAAGTGGGCTTAAAACTCACATTTGATGAATTGTTCCAATTCAAGCAATCAAGCCTTCATCCACAAGCATTCATACAGTTTATGAAGTAAGCAAATAGCCTCATGGCAAGCATGCGATCATGGCAGTCACTTACACACATGCAAGGATGCTAAAGCGTAAACACTTACAGTATACTCCAAGCCAAAACAAAAGCTAATTAGAAATTAATGCATGATCCTAACTCTACAAGATGCTTAATGCAACACATGCAAAATGCAATTAATAGGCTCGACTATCTAAGATGGCATATGAATGCAATTTGATAACATGCTTTAAAACACATATTCAAATAGGTGTATTGAAATATAATGCAGTTTGAATGATGCGCCGAGCTCGGTGCATGCAAGACAAATGAATGAGGCACGCATGAAAGCATAAAGTATGCTAATTGAAATATGCCCTGCATAACCATCGAAAACGGATAAATAAAAGGGAGAAAGACGTGGGGTTGGAAGACATGCACACACACACGCACACTTATTACAACATTGCACCCTCTCGATGGAGGGTCCGAATGAATAAGCTAAGCTAGCTATGCTAAACTAAGCAACTAATCTAATTAAACTAATTAGACTAATTATTAAAAACCAATAAAGAAATAGCTTAAACTACGCTACTTAATTATTACAACACTTAGTTAATTAACAAATTAATTAAATTACAAATTGAAATGCTAACTAATAAGTAAAGCATTAAACTATGCCGCCTCAGCTCTATTTGAGGATGTTAAAGATGCATGCTCGGTTTCTCGCCCCGAAAAGCTCTCCAGTTTGTTCTTTGGAGGCTCTGTTTGCAGGGTGTCCTTGAGAACTTGCTGCTAAACCTTACCAAATCAAGGCTGGGGAGTGCACCAATGGCCTGCCGGCCATGAGGACTACTGGCGGCCAAAGATGGGCCTCTGCTAGCCAACAATAAAGAGGTGCCAGCCATCAATGAGGCACTGTGTAGCTTGACTTTTCCGTGCCCCCTTTCGGAAAGCTCGAATTGGTCCTACAGTCCGGACTCCTGTCACGGTTCTGAATCTAATCTCACAAAGTGCAATGTGAGACTAATAAAATTACCAAAGAGTCCCGAATCAGGGTTTCCTAAATTTCCCATTTTAAAATATTTAGGTGGCGACTCTGTATCTGGCAAAGCAGTCCATGTTTGGCACTTCTTTTCAAAAAATCTGTTTCTCAAAACGATTTGCCGGATTTGTACTCTTTGGTTCAGACTTAGAACCGTGACACAAATCGAGTTCAAACTGTAGTAGCGAGGGCCTCACGTGGGCGCGTCTACACCTCCATTTATACAAAATGACAAATACCTAGGTTAAAAATCATAACAAGGTGTAGAATATCCCTACCTCAAGAGTAGAAGCTCAAAGGAGAAAAGGAAGAACTTCAAGAATGCCCAAACTCCATTTTGTTCGGATCAAAAGGAAGCCCACAAGATGCTCTATCTTTTTATCAAAGGAACTAGGGTTAAGAGATATCTAAATCTTGGTGTATTTGTAGAGAGAGAGTATTTTAGAGAGAGAGAATGCCGGATTAGGGTTTTTAGAAGAAATGAAATAAAAAAGTGATGTAAAATGACTCAGCTGCGAACTGATATATGTGACCTTCGCTCGAGCGAAGGAGTTGTCGCTCGAGTGACCAGACACTACAATCTTCGCTCGAGCGCAAGAAGTGTTGCTCGAGCGTAGAATACATACCTTCGGGTATTTCACAGACGCACACCCTCCCTCGAGTGCAAGAAGCCTCGCTCGAGCGAAGAACTTCATCTTCCCAGAAATGCTGTATCTGGAAGGAAACCTGAGAACTCTCAAAACTTGCTCGAGCGTAAGAAACCTCGCTCGAGCGAAGAAGCAAATTTCATAAGGCTCGCTAGCAACCAACCTGTTCCAAACACGCCCAACACATTCCAAAACTCAAATTCAAAGAGTTAAACGAGGAAAACAAGACATGGATACAATACTATGCCATGAAACCTGAATCCGAAATATAACAAAGGTCGGGTCAAAACCGGGATCGCTATAACCTCCATTCCTTAAAGAATTTCGTCCCCGAAATTTTAGTTCAAGTTTCAAAAACCATGATTACCCAATTTTTAAAATGTTCACAATTCAACTCTCATCATCATGACCATCCACCGGTCATTCAATCTCTTCACCAGAGAACAAATCCACAACATATCGCTCAACATATATTACCAATAGGCATCTTCCGAAATTTAACTAATTTCAATACATATATCTTATGTTTCCAAAACAAATTCAATGTTTATGACAAGTTTACATTTGCAAAACATAAACAACATAGACAATGTTCAAATTAAACTTGCATTTCTGAAACATATTCAACATTTACAATGCTTTCATAATCCAAAACATATACCATGTTTTTGTAGTTCATAAACGAAATTTAAAATCTTAGCATAAACTGAAACATCAACAAATAAGTCCGGATATTTCTCACGGACTTTCAGTTCACGCTCTAAAGTTGCTTCCTCAAACCCGTGATGTTTCCACAATACTTTGACCAAGGGAATTGTCTTGCCTCGCTAGACTTGGTCCCGTCTATCCAAGACTCTTACCGGTCCCTCCTCATACGAAGCACCCTCGTCTTCCTTTAGGTCGGTCCAATCCAATACATGCGATAGATCCAGCTCATACT